CCCCCCCCCCCCCCGGCTGGCCCACCCTTTCTTCAAGTAGTAACCTTTAAGAAGGTTGAGTGGCTATACTAATTACTCAAACTGTAGGCATTAGTAAACTAATGCTGAATATTGTTATCCTTTAAATCTTGATTAGTTTATTCAAGCAACGTTGAAGAGCTCTGGCTATGTCGAAATAACAGAAAAGATAGGGAGAAGAGTGAAATGGAGAAGAAGAACCATTACTCCATTTTCTGAATATTGGAAATGTACATCACTATTTACAGTACACGTACTATTACTTATAGAGATTAACCATTAACTACGTCCTTATTCCACTAAGTAGTTGTAACTAACTATACACTTAAATTCATGGGACCCACAGTCCTCAACACTCTCCTTCAAGCTGAGGGATAAAATACATTCTTCATTCCCAGCTTGCTCAGTAAGTAGTTATGCTGCGGTTTGCACAATGCATTTGTTAATAAGTCTGTGACTTGCTTTGGCGTCCCAACATGCTGTGATTGAATTAGTCCTTGCACACGTTTCTCCCTTACAAAATGACAGTCGATATCTATATGTTTAGTTCTCTCGTGGAAGATTAGATGTGCTGTAATTTGAATAGCTGCTTTGCTGTCACAGTGCAATGGCACATGTAGTTTGATATCCACTCCTAGTTCTTTGAATAGTCCAACTAGCCATATAATTTTAGCAACTGTGGCTGCTATACTTCGAAACTCTGCCTCAACTGAGCACCTGGACATTGCTCCTCATTTTTTTTCCAGAAGATTAGTGCACCACCAAATTTTACCACATATCCAGTGACTGATCTTCTAGACTCCACACATACTCCCCAATCAGAATCATAATAAGCTACAAGGTGTTTGCAGCTGTCAGTAGGCATAAAGAGTCCAAGTCTTGGTGTGGATTTAATGTACTTTACTACTTTTCGTGCAGCATCCATGTGAGAAGCTTTAGGTGCATGCATATATTGACGGAGCATCTGTACTACAAAGGCTATGTCTAGCCTTGTCATGGTTAAGTACAATAATCTACCTATCAATCTTTGATAACTACCTTTATCTTCAAGTATTATATCTTTAGAAGCATTATTATTTACCTCCTGATCAAACTCAAGAGAGGTGAGCTTATGATTGAACTCAAGAGGTGTACATATTGGTTTTCCACCTGCTAGGCCAAGTTCAGAAACCAGTTCTAAGGCATACTTTCTTTGACACATCAAGATACCCCTCTGAGATCTTGAGAATTGAATCCCAAGAAACTACTGCCATTCTCCCAAATCCTTTATCTTGAATCTTTCATGTAGTTCCTTTCTGACTTGTCTGATAAGGTGTAGACTGATGTATGTGATCAACAAGTAATCTACATATACTAGCACTATCACCAGTTATGTCCCTATCTTCTTAGTAAAGAGGGAGTAATCATAATGGCTTTGTACAAACTCCATAGCTAAGAGTGCTTCTGTCAGTTTGAGAATCCATTGTCTGGGTGCTTGCTTCAACCCATACAAAAACTTGTGTAATTTGCATAGTTTCTTCTGATACCCCCTGGCTTGAAAAGACATCTGGAATGTGCATGTAAACCTCCTCTACTAAGTCACCTTACAAGAATGCATTATGCACATCCATCTAGAAAACATACCAATTGGAAGCAGTTGCTATAACAACTACAGCTCTCACAATAACCATTTTGGCTACTGGTGAGAATATTTCTGTGTAGTCTAGGCCTTCTTATTGGTTGTAGTCTTTGGCTACCAATCTGACCTTATATCTCTCCACCTCACCATTGGATCTATACTTGAGTTTGAAAATTCATTTACACCCAATAGGAACTTTTCCTGGAGGCAGGTCTGCTATAGACCATGTGTTGTTTTCTTCTAAAGCTGAGATCCCAGCTTGCATAGCTTCTACCCACTTAGGATCAGCACTAGCTTCATTGAAGTAATAAAGTTTAACAATGGCAGAGTAAGCAACTAGAAAAGCTTGATAAGAAGGAGAAAGTTGGTCATATGACACATATTGTGAGACTGGACATGGACAAGTACACTTCTTAGGTTGTACCACATAATTAGTGAGCCACACATGAGGTTTAGAGGGTATGGAAGACCTCCTAAGTGCTGCAGGATATGTTGAGTATTCAGTGGAAATCTCTCCAGGCACAGATGCTGAGTGATCATCACTGATAGATGTAGGAGAAGTTGTTTGAGTAGTAGGAGAAATGTTGTCAGAGGGTGGCTATTGATCACTCTTGTAAGTGGGTGATGAATCTATGAATTCAAGAATAGGGAATAGATAGGAAACACCAGACCTCATGTTCTTAAGAGGAAAGATATCTTCCTTGAACACAACATCTTTGCTCAGAAAGAAACTTTTGGTGTGGAGATCATATAGAACATAGCCCTTTTGAGAATAGGAGTACCCAATGTGGACAGCTGGGACTGCTCTAGGACTGAACTTGTCTACCTTCTGCACTTTAATGGCATAACATAAGCTACCAAATACTCTAAGATGTTGAATGGATGTAACTTTCTGAAATAATGCTTCAAAGGGAGTCTTTTCCTGAAAAGGACAGTAGGTAATCTGTTCAGTAGATAAACTGTAGTGGACACATACTCACCCCAGAAACTCAAAGGTATATAAGCCTGAAATCTTAGTGTTGTAGCCATATCTCGAATTGATCTGTGTCTTCTCTCAATAACTCCATTATATTGAGGTGTGTACGCACATGAACTTTGATGAAGAATTCCAAGACTTTACAATAAGGAAGTCACTTGGTCATTCATGAATCAGTGCCATTATTTGCTCTAAGACATTTAACTGAAGTTCTGAACTGATTTTTGACATTGATAGGAAGTTTTTTAATGCTACAACAGTATCAGCTTTAGTGGTTAGAAGAAAGATCCAAATATACTTTGAGTAATCATCAACTAAGGTCAAGAAGTATCATTTTTTATCATGAGTAGGAATCCTATAAGGACCCCAAATATCTGCATGCACAAGAACAAAAGCAGAAGCAGAACATGAAGAGCTAAAATGAAAAGGAAGTCTTGATTGTTTTGCAATGGGACACACAGTACAATGATCACCAGTCAGGTGCAAATCATGTAAGCTATGTAGTTTTTGTATCACCTTTAGAGGAGCATGTCCTAACCTTTTATGCCACATATCAAATTTATTGCATGATTGTGTGTTACTCTCACTAGCACACTTATTTGTACTACTAACAATGGTATTTACAATTGGTGGTAAATGTTGCTCAGAAAATTTCCTGTCTTCAGCCTCGAGAATGTAGAGGCGATATTCTTCTTTACCAATCCTCAGGACCTTCCCACTGAAGAGATCCTGAAAGACATAGAAATCAAGAAAGAATGTCATCATACACCATAGTTCTTTTGTAATCTTAGAGATTGAGAGTAGATTATACTTGAACTCTGGAATATGTAATAAAGTTCTGAACCTTCTTATCTCTTAAAAGGGAACAAATCCCAGTATGTGTAATAGTAACCCTCACCAGTAGGAAGATATACTTTATTTTTATTTGTTTCTGATAATTTTTTATAAGAGTCTAATAGGTTTAGACTATGCACCATGTGATTAGAAGCTCATGTATCTATTATCCATTTATGATTCACCAAGGTAGACATATAAACATGTATGTTACTTCATGTGCCTGTAGTTGCTGAATTAGCTATAAATTCAGCACCCTTGCCTTTGTTCAACATCTACAGTATTTGATGGTATTGTTCTAGAGTGAAAAACTGAGCTGGGGAACTGAGAGTAGATCTTCCCAAGGAGTTGCTTTGTGCTTCTGAAGATTGACTGCCATAGTTTCTTATACTGTTGGACTGAGCATTGAAGTTTCCTCCTATCTTCTTGTTTTTGAAATCACTTGGATATCCATGTAGTTTGAAGCAATTTTTCTTGGTATGTCCTTTGCACCTGTAGTACTCACAATAAACTGGTGACTTATTGAAGGAGCTTTTAGTCTTATAGCCCTCAGTATATCTAGTATTTGTAAGGCCTCCATTGTTGTTGAAACCTACACTATTGTTATAGTGCCTAGTACTCATCGTAGCAGCAGCTTCACTGACATCATTAGAACCATACACACCATTTCCATTGATCCTCTGACTTTCAACATTAATAATATAGCATAAGCTTGATTCAGATTAGGTAGAGATCTAGTCATTAACACCTGATTCTTAGCATTTTCATATGAGTCATTAAGCCTAGTGAGAAACTGATAGAGTTTTTGAAGCTGATAGTGCTCAACATGCTTCTTTGACTCAGGGCCGCCACAGGTAGGAGGAGGAGTTAATGTTTCATATTCATCTCAAAGTTCTCATAGTCGAGAAAAATATACAGATACAGAGGATACTCCTTGTGTTAGTGTGGCTATTTTCTTATGCAGGTAAGCTTCCCTAGAGGCATTTACTTTGTCAAATCTCTCCCTAAGATCTTCCCAAACAGTGTAGGCGTCTGATGCATAGATTACAGTACTAAGCAGATTTGGAGACACCATATTCATAATCCATGCAAGCACTATAGCATTACATCTATCCTATAGTTCATGAAGGTTGACATCATAGTTGCTCTTTTTGCAGGTGCCTAGAAGAAATTCTAATTTATTTTTGCCATGCAATAAAATTTTCGATGATCTACTTCATATCGAGTAATTCTTAGATCCTTGTAATTTATTAGAGATAAGAACTGAACCTTTCGTATCAGATGGATGTATGTACAGAGGATGATGATGATCAACCTGATCAACAGATTGAGCTGCATTCATAGTTGTGAACTGAGTATTGGTATCATCTTCATGAACTGACGTTGTTGAGAATTGAGAAAAACTTCGAGAATTTTGAATCGAAGAATAGAAATGTAGCTATAGGCATGCACAGACTGCTCGCCACCTATATCGATCCAATCGAGCAGATCACACGCAGATTTCAAACCCTAGCTTTGAGTAGGTAAAATTTAGATGAAAATTTGGTTCAACCAGTTGCACAATTCAAAATATTGAGACAGAGAGTTAGTATTCCATCATAGTTGAGCAACCATTACTCGATTAAACAAGCTCAAATACCATGTTGAAGAGCTATTATGGCGAAATAACAGAAAAGATAGGGAGAAGAGTGAAATGGAGAAGAAGAACCATTACTCCATTTTCTGAATATTGGAAATGTACAACTCACTATTTATAGTACACATACTAATACTTATAGAGATTAACCACTAACTACATTCTTACTCCACTAAGTAGTTATAGCTAACTACCTACTAACTAACGATACACTTAAATACATGGGACCCACAATCCTCGACATGCAACAACAACAACACACCCATTGAAATTCTACAAATAAAATTTGGGGAGGGTAGAGCGTACACAAACTTTACTCCCACCATATGAATTAGTTTACTCCTACGTGGATTAGAATTCAGAAAGTTAAATATTTTATGTGGAAAGTAAGAGATAAACATGTTCAGAGTGACATATATGAAAGACCAATTTTAAAACAGCTCCTGAAACAATAATGCAAAATTTAAGTATATGGTATTTATGCGATCCTGTCCACTGACAAGTGACACTGCAAACAATAAATTTGCGTCGATAAAATAAAATTAGGACAAAAAATATCGCAACAATCATAGTATTTGATTTCAAATAATATGAGTGTACAATCTCTATGATTCATCTGATTCTACTTTTCTAGTATAAATTCAATGGCCTTCTAGCTTGATCTTGAATTTGAATTTGATTTATCCGTCGCGAACACTTTGATTGTTGCCACGAATTTTATCACGAACAAGTAGCCTTGATCTTGAACGCCTTGTATTTGATTTGACTTCGTTCTTGATTCTGAATACTTGAATTGTTCTTCGTTTTTGAGCTTGAATACTTGATTTGTTCTTCGTTCTTGAACTTGAACTTGATTTCTTGAACTTGAAGCCTGAAACTTGTAGAGAAATTTGCGGCGTTTGATCCACGAGCTCTCTTTTGCTTCTTGTTATAACTTCGTGTATTTTCTGGGTTATGAAGACCCCTATTTATAGTTGTGGGAGGAAAAAATTATGATAAGAACAAACTCTTTCCAGCCAATCAAATTGAAGTGTGACAAGGCCGTATTTGATTGGCCAGAACATGTCACTTGCACACATGACACGATTTCATTGGCCTTTTAATGTGGCTTGGCATGCCCGATCATTTTGACATGTG